GAGCGGGCGCTTGCGGCTGGGGAGAGGGGGCGCCCGCGCGGGCGGTCAGCACGCTTCTGCAAGGAGACCGCCCGCGCCGGCGCCGGCGCTGGCGCAACACTTGTGGCTGCCAGGCGCTGGCGCCCTCCCGCGTGCACCACCCCGCGCCCCAGTGGCGCGCCGCCCCTTTCGCATGAACACGCGTGCGCGTGGATCCAACCCGGCCCTCAGCGCCATGCGGCGGGCAGGGTGCTGGCCGCCAGGCCGCCGCACCCGCGGCCGCGCCGCGCCCCTGCAACACATTTTGTCAGGGCATGCCTGTGCGCTGCATCAAGGCCCCTGCAACGCACAAAGCCCCAGGCGTCCCCCAACTCCCTCCCCTTCAATATGACACGCAACACGCCCCTCGCCGGCTGCCCCAGCACACGCCGACACGAATCCAAGGACCCGAGGCGCCCACGAGCAGACGCGCGCCAGCAAAAACAGCGCACGCCTGAGGTTCCAGGCCGCACCAGCTGCACATGTCGCGCCCGCACACCAGCTGGCCTTGCCCCCTCCTCCCCTTCCCCCCACCCACACAAAAAACACACCTGCACGTTCTTGCGCTGCTTCCACCTCCGGCTGAGCATGTCCCAGTTCTGAGCGCTGGACAGCACCAGCTGGGCGCGCTCCAGGCGCTTCAGGTCGGACGCGCTCTCGCCTGGGGTTGGAGGGGGGGGATGGTGTGTGTGTGTGCGCGTGTGTGTTGACGAGCAGTCTGGTGTGTTTTGTCTCTACAGTGCATGCATCTCGTGTGTGTGTGTGTGTGTGTTGGGTGGGGGGGGGGGTATATGCCGGACCCGCGTCAGCGCGCCGCTGCACGTGGAAAATGACAGGGGACGCGCCGCGAAGCCAGCGCGCCCACCCCCATCCACAGCGCTGTGCCTCACCGGTCAGCACCTCCACCGTGAGGCCGAGGCCCTTCCCAAACTTCTCCCGCCAGTCGGCCGCCCTCTCAGCCACGATGGCGTCCAGGGGCGCCACGTAGACGCACCTGGGGAGGGGGGGTGCGGGTTGGTGATGCGTGGGGCCGCTTGCGGAGGCTTCCCACCCACCCTGAGGTTTCTTTGGCAGAGCAGAGTTATGGGTGACCCGCACTTTGAGAAGCATGCCGTTGTGTTGTCCAGACTCCTCCAAGCGCAAAGCACAGCGCCGGCCTCGCTGCGCTCTCATGGCAAAGGAGGACGGCGCTCTGCGTTACGCCCCTTGCAGCCGCCGCCAAAGCCCAGGCAGCGGCGGTGGCCCCTCGCTGCTTCGCAACACCCCACGGGCTGCCCCCAAACACCTGGCCCTGTGAAGCGTGAAAAAAACCCCAGCACTAGCCCCAGCTCGTTTGACATCCACAACACACATGGTCGCAAAAATATAGTGCGCCCCCCTACACACACACACACACGCGCGCGCACACACACACACACACACACACACTCGTGCGCTGACGACCAAAGCCCGCGCCCAAAGGCCGCCCCCGCGGCCACACCCACCGGGCCACGCCCTTGCCCTCCTTGGCGCGCTGCAGCATCCTGAGCAGCGCAAACTCCGCGGCTATGGTCTTGCCGCTGCCCGTGGGTGCTGCCAGCAGCACGTTGTCGTCGGTGTGGTACAGCGCATTGAAGACCTGGGGGAATTATGGGTGTTTATGTTGGGGGGCGGGGGGCGGGGGGAGGGGTGGATCATCAGGAACGCGATATTTGTGGGATGCGATGTGTGTGAGTTCGCGTGTGTGCGTGTATGTGTCCGCGTGCGCGCATATATGTGTGTGTGTGTGTGTATGTAGGAGAGAAAGAGTGTGTGTGTGGATGTGTGTTGGATCAAAAACCCCATCGTGAATGAAATTGAAGCTGGGTGATGCAAAGGGAGGTGGAGGGCGTGCCCCCTGCCTGGCAGGCAGGAGTGCCAGGGCCGCGCCGGAATTCAGTCGAGCGAGAGGGAGGGACGAACTGGGTGCAATGGGTGCATGGGGGCGAGGGGTCCGGGAGGAGTGACGGTGGGGGAGAGCGCGTGGGCTGCTGCATTCGGGCGCACCCGTGGCGCGCGCGCGCGGACCGCCGCGCGCGCGTAACTGCGCAGCGCAACCATACCCGCCCGCGCCGCCGCGCTCGGCTGTTGGTGCAATCGGAGCGCACCCGTCGGGCGCGTGTGTACGTGGCAGGGGCCGTCACAGGCGGCAGGCCGTCACAGGCAGCGCCCCCTGGAAACCCCCATGATGCGAACTACACTCACCACCCCCGACTGAGCGCTCGGCCTGACAACAAAACCGCAACTCATGGTCTCCTGTGAACGGCACTGTACAGCAAATCGTCCCAACAGCCGACGCCCCCTTGAAGCACGCCAGATGCAAACCAGGCCACTCATAACCAACTCCTCAGCCTGCCAGCCCCCACCCCCACTTGCGATCCCCCTTGCATAACACCGTTCACCCCTCCCCTCCGGCCCCACGCCAACACACACACGTCCACACACAAACACACACACACACGCCCCCCCCACACACCCACACACCCACACGCACACCCACACACACACACACTCCAAGCGCACCCAACCAGCCCCGACCCACCTGCGTCTGGATGGCGTTGAACACCGCTATAGGCCGCTGCGCCGCCGCGCCGGCCCCGCCCTCGCCGCCCGCGGGCCGCGTGTAGAGCTCCTCGAAGGCCGCGTTGCGCAGCGCGGTGACGGGCAGGGGCTGCAGGTCCAGCAGCTCCGTGGGGGGCGAGAACTTCTCGGGCAGGATGAGGTGCCTGGTATTTTTGCACCGAGGGGGGGGGGAAGGAAGGTGACGCGGGTGGGGGCCGTCGGTTGGGCGGCGGTTAACGTTCAGTCGGGCATCTGTCGGGAGCCAACAGAGGGTGGGTCAGGGACCGCTGGGGGCACAGGAAGGCGGCCCGCATTACCCAGCGGTCGGCAGCGAGGCCTCGCGGCTGCAGCTCTCAGCGTCATCGAGGACGGGACGCAAAACCTTGCAACACCCTTGCGTGCGGCAAGCAGAGCCAGCACGCAACACGTCGCATAAAGCGGGTGCCAAGCGCCACACACCTCAAGAGCGGCGGCTCACAATGCGCTCAACCCACTTGAACCATCTACCATTGTCCTCAAACTGACCACACGCACGCCCTGCACCCCCCTACACACACACACACACACACACACACACACACACACACACACGCGCACCTGAAGCTGATGGGCAGCACGGCTTCGCAGGCGAGCCACCTGTCGCTGACCAGCCGCACAAAGTACTGCGGCGGCAGCGGCTCGCTGATGGGCAGCGTGAACGAAAGCCCGCTCTCCTCGCCGCCCGCCACCAGGGCCTTGCGCAGCAGCCAGAACTGGTGGTGCAGCAGAACCTGGGGGGG